TCTCCCATTGCTGCCGTGCTGCCGCAGCACAATTTCTGTTCTCATCCTGAAGCAAAGTTCTTAACCCGAGGTACTATTTCTGGGTTAGCAGAGTCTGTAACCTGAAGCGTATGTAACCTGAAGCGTATGTTAACCCAAGGTACTACTGTATAGTACTTTACCCAATATGAATGAGTAGAATCCAGTAATGTGTGCTTGTGGACACTATTGGGATGGAGGCTAAATCTGTGCATCTGTGCATGGTGACTCCAGTATCTGGGACGAAGACTAGGACAAATGCATCTTGGATTCCATCCTGCTTGCTTTGTTCTACAGAACTCAATGAGGGGCTCTGAACACTGAGCCAGACTCTAGCTGCATAAATTCAACCACCCTGGGTTGGACAGAATTCAGAGGGTTGGCGTATGGATACATGCATGACTATGCCAAGGCAGAGGGTTTCAGAAATCATAGAAAGCTTTTCCTAGTGAAGAAATAAATGAGTCTCATCCTTCCAAGTGGTTGGGGGAAAAACAATGGCGACTTGAAAGGCAGGCGTTTGCTCTTGCACTCTCTCTGTCTCGGCATTTATGCACATCTGCCATCACCACCACTACCTATAAAACATATGTGAGCCTGCAATGCTTTCCGATCTGCATTTATTCATCAAACTCATGAAACACGCTGTTCAGGAGCCAATGAAACTGAATCTTGTGGGCACCCCCATTGGAAGCTCTTTGGGAAACTGAGCAACTGTCCTTACTTTATCCCCTGGGACACGTTAAGAAAAGAAAAGAAAAAAGATGGAAGCTTTGAAAGAAAAATCCAAAGGCAAGTCAAAAGCACCTCGTTAATAATGGTCATGAAAATAGTTGAGTGTCAAATTTATCAGCACTGAACACCTCAACTTCAGCAGCTGCCAAGAAAAGATGAGTAAAAGCGGCAATTGCGATTTCCATGCCAAAACTAGGTTTGTCCTGCGGAAGGGGTCTGCGAAGCTTTGCACGAGGCTCCATCAAGAGCCCTGCAAATGCCCCGTCAGCGTTTACGACCTGCGCTTTATATGCACTTTACGTTCTACATCCCGGGTTTGTGGAGGGAAGAGAAGGATCGCTGCAGAGCTGCTGCTGAGCTTCAGACGACAGAGATATGTCCCAACAAGAGTTTCTGAACTTTAGAACAAAACTCTATACTATCAAGCACGCCTTAGATCTTTTAACAACACTTCCCCAAATGCCTTGTAAAACAGTAAAGTCTGGTTGTAATTATCAAGCACCATACACACACTGTTTACAGTAGAGTTGTAATTTTTTAAAAATGTTTTTGCACAGAGAAGTAAAATACTTCTGAAAAGTACCCAAACGTCTACTGTGTTCCATGCCAACAGGGCAATTCAGCCAAAAATGCAGAGAGGGGAGAGATTGCCAAATAAAAGAAAATATAACAAATTGGTAATGGCTTCTATCTTGACAGAAAATGAAAATTATACCTCAATGTGTGGCCACTCATGTGGACACATAAGAATGTCTTACAGGCAATCATTTTACTTCAGATAACACACCCTGACAGTGGTGCACGGCATACTGGCTGGCTTTCACTTTCCATAAAAGCAGCAACCGTAACCTATAAAATGGTCTAGGAATCATATAATTTATGCATATCCCACATGCATGCACACTCACACAATATTTATAATAAATCATCTCAAGCACACTGCTGTATTATGAGGGGTGGGTTGGAAGTCAGCACTAAAAATTCCTTCAAAGTTGCCACAATTGGATCCAGCCACCCAATCTACTTAAAGGCACTGAAAAGGGTGGGATGGGGGAGAAGGGTCCAAGTCCAAAAATATTTTTTGTCCTCCAAACTAATCCCCCAACCATGAGATTCTTTGCACTTTTTATAGTCTTAAGGTTATTGAGATTCTGAATGTCAAAATCTACAAGCCGCCCACTCCAAAGTAGTCAAGCATGAAGCTGAAGAATGGTTTCTGCTGTTGCAATTTATATATATTATTGTTGTGGTTTATGTCTGGCTGTGGGCTGATACAGGCTATCCCTGATTTGGTGCTACACGAATGAGCCTTCAGTTTAACAACAATCCTCAAGTCTTTTGTCCATCCTACCCCTCTGAATCCCTTCCCTTCCTGGCCTGCTAAAACTATGAATGTGCTTGACCTGCAAACCAGGATAGGATATCATAGTTGATCTTGGTTTCCAAGATATGCCTAAACAATTAAGTTTCCTGGTTTGGACAAAAAGAAGGAATTGCTGTACGTGAGTGGAGACGTGTGTGTTAGGAACCCTCAAAATCTAACTGCAAAACTTTCATCTTATGGGAGAAGACAGCAAGCACAGAGGGAACATGTGGGTCTTCTAGTCTAGAGTAAGATGTATGGCAACTGATCCAGAGAAGTTATGCATCATTAAATCCACACTACACCATGGAAACCAAAAGAGCTTTTTTCCAGCTAGAACTCGCTCTCAGGTAGGTGCCATTGCTATTAAATGAGAACAAGGGAGGCATTCATGGTGAGTTCTGGCCCCTCTTTTTCTAGAAAAATAGCACTGGAAATCAACACTGAATTCCTGGTGTCCAAGTATCATATGAAGAGGTCCTAAAATATTACAAATGTTCTAGGGTTATATTCCTGAAAAATAACCATGGTCTTTACACATTAACTGCCCTGGCCCAACCTGAAGATACAACTTTATAACTAAGGCAGGATGTCCAAGAAAGAAAATACTATTTCCGTTTCCAGAATAGTTTATAACTCAGGATTGTAATTCTAACTGTTAATCAAAAGTTTAGCTAACTAGCCATGCTGCTGTTCTAGGTATCTCCAGAAGAAACAGCAGCAGCCATGTGTTTTACTGCCTTCAGCGCCTGTAGTTTAACAAGTGACGTGTATAGTGAATGGTAGACCTTTAAAAGGGAAGAACAAAGGATCCGTGGTTCAAATGCAGTATAGGTGTGCAAATATCTGTTCATATAATGACTGCTGACGAAATTTTCCCTTCCCTCAAATTTCCTGCTTGTTACTTTCATTTTAAGCATTTGAAAACCTTGTTTGTAAAAAAAGGATATTAAAAACTGGAGATCTCTGCAGATCAAATTTGATCGTACAATTTTTTTAAAAAAAAAGTTGGTTCAGCAACAAGCAACTAGGTGATTTCCCCTTCCTTCCTTCCTTCCTTCCTTCCTTCCTTCATCATCATCACAAAATAAATGCAGAACATGAGATTAAGTCTGCTATATGACCCAGGATCCTTAAGAGCAGAAAACGCAAACACAGTGATGATTTCTACAGTAGCTGCAAGCAGTTTATCCAAAGGCCTCTCCTCCTTACTGCCACCTCAAAAATATGCTATAACTCAAGCATTTAGCATAAATAGATACAAGTTGCTCGGAACATCTAGTTCCATACCTATTTACATTAAGTTTTCTCATTTCCCCTGCTTGCCAGCAACAAATGTAGGCATCCTTTGGCAAGCAACGCTTTTAGAACTTGGAGGAAGCCTGTGTCCTTTACACATGAAGTGTAGGGAGAAGCAAGACTTGTTATTCTTAATGTGTCAGCTCAAGGCCTTATGTCTCCAGCATCACCTACATGTTTCATCTTCCAATAAATATTTAGCACTATTTTCTTTTGACTTTTAAATAGGATTGGGGGGGAATCTTGTTAGCACAAATTGCAGCCTATTAAACTAGCAAACAGACATTTTGAATGTTACAGTAACATTATGATGAGGAATAAGTTATTAGTTATATACGCAGTCCTGTAATTTTAGCTTTTATGAAACAAGGAGTCATGACTTTCCAATGGTAGGAACAGCTCTCTTGCTTGGTTCACATGTAACACCAACTCAGTTTGATCATCACAGTTGTGACTGTATTCTTATTCTTATTCTTATTCTTATTCTTATTAGTAGCAGTAGTAGTATATACCACCATTTATCAAAAGATCTCAGGGCAGTGTACAACATTAGAAGCACATTACAATCAATGATAAAACCTAATAAAAACATATTAAAAAGTATACTAAAAGAAAGCCTAATGGTAACACAAGCATAATAACAGTCATCTCCCCCACACTTTCACAAGCATAGTTTATTTAACAGCCAATAGGCCTTGGTAAACAGGAATGTTTTTGCCTGGTCGTTGCATTTTGCACCAGCTGAAGTTTCTGAACAGTCTTCAACCTGGAGGTTACCAGCATATAGGCCACAGAAGTTAGGCTATGCCTGTCCGGATAGGGGCATATCTGGACCACCCACCAAAGCTGGCAGAAGGCACTCTGTGGAACACCCACAAGCTATGTACGTGCTCCTCTAAGAGGGAGTATAACCCCCTCAAGAGCAGGAAATCTTCCACCCATCTAGCCTAGGGAACCACCCACTAACAGTGCCTCTGTCTTATCTGGATTGAGCTTCAGTTTATTGGCTCTCATCCAATCCATTACCGAGGCAATGTACTCTTTACCTTGTTTGTACATGTAAATTCCCTTCCTCAATTCCTGGTTCAAGCTAACCAGAATTTGCTGTGACACTGGAATTGGAAGAACAGCCTGTCTCCATGGCAGAACTGAAAACCCACTTCAAACGGTAAGGGGAGGGGGATCATAGTTCAGCAATCAAGCACATGTAGATTCCAGTTCAATCCCTGGCATCTACAGTTAGCAGGTGATTTGAAATTCTTGTTGTGAATTGACCCGAGACCTCTGGGCATATGGTGGCGTATAAGTTGAATAATAGTTAAAAAACAAAACAAAAAACCTCTGTTTGAGACCCTGGAGACCCACTGGTGTTACGAGTAGCCAATTTGATTACATTTACCCCTAAGCCAGCGGTTCTCAACCTGTGGGTCCCCAGATGTTGTCGGACTACAACTCCCATCATCCCTGAGCTCTGGCCTAGCTAGCAAGGGGTGATGGGAGTTGTAGTTCAACAACATCTGGGGACCCACAGGTTGAGAAAGGCTGCGCCTAAGCAAACATTTTTCAAGTCAAAAAAGTTTCTTACCATCCTTCATCATCTTCCACTTCAGGTTCAGACACTTCATTTTCTGGAGTCTCCGCTATTGCTTGGTTCAGTTTTGATTTGAATCTGTCCAGCAATGCCAGCGTCTGGAATTAAAACAAGACTGCTGAAAACTTGCTCAGTTCACCACACCTTTAAGTCCTAATAACACTAACACTTGAAGTGAGCGAGCATCCAATTGGTGTGATGACTTGCACTGTGAAATCAGCTGAGCAAATGCACTGTGTGTGCAGTATTTACGTCCGTATGTAATGAACTACTAACAAGCTATATCTAGTTTTTGTAAGACACTAAGTATGCCCACTCATCTGCCTCATTTCAATTCCATGTGCCCCATGAGGCTTCAGTGAACCTGCCAGTACTCCAATGGGAATACAGATCTCTGTGCAAGCAGAGCTGCCTTATCTTCTGTGCTGGAAAATGTTTCTCATTCCCATTGAACAAAATGGAGCAGCTCATCGTCTTGCAAATGTCTGTGCAAATCAGTACTTTATAACTGCATCCATTATGCATCCGTTGGTAGGTTACAAATAAATTTAACAAAATATATGCTACCCTCATCATCAGCATCAAAGACTTAATTGTTTAGCTCTGCCTTTCCATCATTTTAAGTGTTTTAGTTAGGTTGCTTTTATTGCATTGCTACTTTATTTTGTGATCTCTGATCTTAATGGACTGAGTGCTGCTTTAATATTATTGCTGGCTGAGGCTATTTAATTTTATTGTGATCTGGTGTGTTTTAATTTGAACCATTCGATTCTCATAATGTAATAAATTTGCTTAAATTAGGTTATAGATGTCATATTAATGTATTAAATAAAAACAGATAAGCACCGTTATCAGTGGTTTAGATGCACACTGGTAGTGAAACAACATCTAGGAACCCAAGGTTGAAAAAGGGTGGTCGAGGGGGAAGCTTACTTGGCCTTAAGACAGATTGCTCACCTGTAAGTTCTGAATTCCTAAAGTTGAGAATGCTCTCAGTGTTGCTCTGCACAGCTGCAAAACTTCTATACGGGACTGCACAGAATCCCAGCTTTCCACCCCCAAACCATTTGAAGACTACTGATTTATTGGAAGATTGTAAAATTAAGCTAAGTTTTCAGACCACAATTCAACATTAACAAAATTAAAGAGAAACTTTGAGAACAGAAGGGAAGTCCTGCTGGATGAAGCCAAAGGTCCACTGGCCCAGCATCCTGTTCTCACAGTGGCTAACCAGATTCCTAGTGGATAGTACTGAGAGACACACTGCCTCAGATAATGAAAGGGTAACTGAATTAGTTTTAAAAACATCATGCTGGTTTCATCATCTTCGATTATTTACCTGAACTTCACGGGAAGGTCCCTTCTTCGGCTGCTGCTGTTTCAGTTGTTCATATTTCTTTTTTTCTTCCAGATATTCTGCAACAATGCTGTTTGGGGCAGCTTTGTCATCTGCATTTAGAAACCAAGGAAAACATGCACTGAGCCAAGGATGACTATGATGCCATCACCGGGAAAGAGAGAGAAATAAGACTACATAAATCACCTCTAGTGCTGAATACTGTCTGGTTAGCTATTTGACATATGAACTCATTAGAAAACACAATTTGCTGAGAAAACTGACTGCATGTCTAGTCAGAAATAAAACCAATTTAGTTCAAGGAGTTTTGTACACTAAGTGAGTACACGATTGCTGTTTTAGTTTGGCAGATTAAAAACGATTTGAAGTCAAAGGGATGGTGAATTATGGTCTTTTCTGAGTATGCTAACACTATATATCACTCTATATCAGCTTTTCATGTCGCAGAAGAAATGGGAATAGATTTGAGAATAATACTTTGTACTTGGATTTGGAATAATATTGCTTGTTTGTTTATTTATTTATTTTATTTATATACTGCTCTGCCTCACAAGATCTCAGGGTGGTGCACAATAATATATCCCCCCACCACTGAAAGAATCCAGCATCGTTCTAAAGTGATTGTTCCATCAGGGCTAGCATTTTGTCTACCTAGATAGAACAATCCCCCACTATCTTCCCCTGCACACTGCTCTGGGGATTCTCCTACCCTTCCCATGAGCCAATTTTGGAGTGGGGGTGGGGGAAAAGCCCCATTGCACGAGCAGACTCATTAGTTAAATCCCACACAAAATTGATGATCAAAAAAGAAAAAAGGGCAATTTGTGGAAAATACAATTTCAGTGTCACCTGACCAGAACAAGACACATACAGTGGTACCTCAGGTTAAGTACTTAATTTGTTCCAGAGTTCCGTTCTTAACCTGAAACTGTTCTTAACCTGAAGCACCACTTTAGTTAATGGGGCCTCCTGCTGCCGCCGCGCCGTGATCCCACGATTTCTGTTCTCATCCAGAAGCAAAGTTCTTAACCTGAAGCACTATTTCTGGGTTAGCGGAGTCTGTAACCTGAGGTACCACTGTATATGTTAAGATTTAAATAGGTCCTGGCAGTACACTGGAGTTCACGCAAACTACTTACAATCTGAGGTGTTAATATGTGGGAAAGGCAAAGCAAATCGTCCTTCACTTCAGGCAACAAAATGTCTCAGATGTGAACAACAGGTGTACATCATGCAGCAAAGGGTTTAATCGAGACTTAATTATGCTTAGAGGAGTAGGTCCATTGATTCCAAAGAGTCTACTCTAAGCATGACTAATTCTGGATTTAACTCAATGCATTTTCTATGTATTTTGTATTGAGGTTGCCTTTGCCTCCCCACCAGCCCTTTATGACTGTCCCTGGTGGTGAAGTCTGGGACTGTGGTGGGGGAGTAGGGGAAGGAAGTCCTGAAAGCATGGTCTGAACTTGCTGCCACTGCACAGGACATGCATCTGTTTTGGAAAGGTTTGCTTGCTTGTTTTTGCTATGCATTTGGACATCTGTTAACCAAATTCTGCATGATAGTTGCTGAGTTCAAGGAGCAGTTTTTCATCTAAGTTGGGTACAACTGAACGCCATTTTGAATCAAGATGGCAGACAGAACATTTCAAAAATGCACTGATTTAAACTACTGTTTCAAAACTGAATTTATTATTATTTTTGGTTTCTCAGAATTCCTACCCAATGCCAGGTACAAGCCTGCTACATAACATACAATATTAGCCTTCCAGAGCTTCAAGTGAACCACAATGGTCTATTTCCCTTTTATCCTATGCCACTGTAGTACTGTCATACATAAAGGATGAGCATTAGAAAAAATGGACTTTTGGGCCAACTTTGTTAATCTATCCTTGTTATGTTGTATCTCTGCAACTCTACAGAATATTCTTTGCTTCTGACATTTATTCAAGTTGGAATAGTGATTACATGGAAAGTAGTATACTATCCATGTTCTTTTTGGGTTTTGGCTGAGTTTACAAACTGGTGCTTAAGTATTCCACTTTATAATATTGAAGTTTTATGCCCCATTGTATAGTATAAAAAATATGATAGGTTGCAAAAACATAGGGTTTGGATCCAGTTTTTACTGTGTTCTGTGTTAGCTTTGTTTTTAAATATTTTGCAGCAAGGCACTGCCAAAAACAACACCATTATCTAAAATAATTTTCTCAGGTTATAATTGTAAACATAGTCCTGTTCTATAAAGAACTGAATACCAATAATCTAATAAAAATGTGTTTAAGGTCTACCATTATTTATTTGAAGATTGATTTTGTTCAAATTTGGGTTTCTGATTCATCTTTAACAAACTTGAATATTCATATTTAACAATTTAGTGTATTCATGTAGATAAATACAGAACCCCATTCATGAAATTGTTGGTGAAACTCCTTAAAAGTGCAGTTATGGTCCCAAATCAGGAACCAAAATGATTCCTGAAACCCCTATCCTGCTATGCGAAATTTGATGAAAACATATTAAAAGCAATTTATCAATTTTTAAGATGGCTATACCTTCAGTTTTTGGAACATGCCAGAAACAGTACGCACTAAAGCTGAAAACCTACCAGCCACTTCATACACAGGTTTGGTTTTTTTAAAAAAATCTTGACATAACTATTTGTAGATTTGTGTGAGTAGAATATTTGTGAACAGAATTGTATGCAACAAAGTGAGGTTTTTCTTCTTCCGGGAATGGAATTACTGACTAGGAAATAGGAGTTGCTAACTAACAAACAAAATGTTTGGTTTTCTGGTGAAGTTTTTATAGTGATACAACTAACACTACTTAGTATATTAACATTTAGTGCAGACCCCAATCTGAATGTTGAAAGAGAGTCTGGAGGTGATTAATATATTCTTTTCATCTGCTTGTTTGTGCGTTTAAGAGCTCATAGAAGTGGACTACACCAGTGTTTCCCAACCTTGGGCCTCCAGCTGTTTTTGGACTACAACTCCCATCATCCCTAGCTAGCAAGACCAGTGGTCAGGGATGATGGGAATTGTAGTTCAAAAACAGCTGGAGGCCCAAGGTTGGGAATCACTGGACTACACTACAATGCTCTGTGAGCAAGGCACTAATGGACTCCCCTATGTATGGAAGGTGAATTAGGGAACTGTGCAAATCCTTTCATCCGTTATTAACACTACTCATTCTAGGAAGAGATGGTTTAAATGCCAAGTAAGTGCCTGAAAAGAACATGGGGAATTGGCCTTTAGCTGCCTTGATTTTATCTCAGAAAGGCAAGTTATAAATGCCAAAAATCAATTAAGCAAACTTTCTTTCTTGCAAACATGCAGACATAAGGCACCTGGCATCTCTAGGTAGGGCTAGGCCTGAAATCTTTGAGGGCCACTGCCAGTCAGGATAGATAAATCCGAGCTTGACAGACCAATTGTCTAACTTGGTATAAGGTAGCTTCCTATATTTCTAACTTTAGCCTAGTTCTGTAGTCCTCATGGCTTCAGTTTGGCTAGCAAACTCATGTCATCCTCACTGTAACTCTCTTCTTCTCTGTCCTCTCTCTCCCAAACCCAGCCAATGTTAGTACAACAAATTTAAATTTCAAATGATTTATTTAGCCAATACCACTACTACTCCCAAGATATATGCTTATCAAGGGTATACAGTCGTACCTTGGTTCTCGAATGCCTTGGTACTCGTACGTTTTGGCTCCCGAACGCCGAAAACCCGGAAGTAAGTGTTCTAGTTTTCGAATGTTCTTTGGAAGCCGAACGTCCGACGTAGCTTCTGAGGCTTCTGATTTGAGTGCAGGAAGCTCCTGCAGCCAATCAGAAGCCGTGCCTTGGTTTTTGAACAGTTCTGGCAGTCAAACGGACTCCCGGAACGGAGTAAGTTTGACAACCAAGGTACCACTGTATAGGAAATGTGTGAAGAAAGCAGTTTAAGGGCCTGTATGCTCAATTATTTGAATGAATGATCATAGGAAAGAAATGCAAATTTAGGAAAGAAATGCAAATTTAATAAACTAGTGCAATGCAAGATGAAAAGTAATCTAAATGAATTAGGCTTGAGATCATTTGGTTCAGACTAGCACAAGATCAAGAGATTATACAAAGGACTGGTGAGAAGATAAGAGACAAACGTCTCCTTCACTGGTAAGACTGGATTCAGGTTTCCAGCAGCTTTCAGCAATCCTTTGTCTTAATCTATTTTACTCTTTTATTTAGTGCCCAAGACTAGCTCTACAGGATGTTGAATGATGCTGCCCCAGGCACAGCCTCTCCAGCTGTTAGAACTAGCTGCTGCTCTTATGTTTAATGGGAACTATTGACAGCTTTCTTGTTTTGTCCTGTCTTTTTGGCTGAGGAAACCACAAATCACTGCAACGGAGGAACAGCACATTTCTTTTTTTAAAAGAACTGTAAACCGATTTCATCATGCTAATAAGAAAAAACAAACATGAATAACAGAATATGGGAAAGGCAAGTTATTTAAGTATTTGTTGTAGCAGTGCATCAAGATATGGTGGAGTTGTTCACTCACTCAGTCGTTTTGGATGAAAATCACTGCAGTCATATTAGGAATAGCAGGCCAAATGAAAATATTTTAAACATTATTTAAATGTCACCAGGAAGGCTCTGGGAAAGCTGGATGTACAAGGGGAGAAAGGACGGGGCAGAGGAAGCAGAGAGTGTGCTTACATATGACTCATTACCAATCCAATAAGCCATGGTTTGTTATGTCTATACCAGGATTTATTGTACAAAGGCAACCCTAGGAAGACATGTGTTTTTGTGATGGGGGCATCACTAAATACACACCACAACCTTGAATTATTGTTTAATCAGAGTGCTATTATACTGAGCAATAAATGCTCTCTAAATGTAATAATCAGGCTTTTTTCAGTTTTGCCATCCCCTAAACTACCTTTACAATGAAACTAATTATTCTGAGAAAGAAGACAGACATACAATGTTGCAACCAGAATGATACTTCAGGCATGGTTTTTAAACAATTATGGGGCACAGAAACTTGAGGAACAAAATGACACTAGCAGAAGATCAAACGACAGATAATTATAGGGGGGA